TCCAATCAAACCTGGGCTCCTCTGAAGGGGTAACTCCCGTGGGTGACCTGCATGTTTGTTAGGGCTCAGCAGGGCTCCTCCAGCTGTCACCTTCCCTAGGGCTCTTTTGCAAAGCGGAGAGCCTTCAGTTTAGCCTATTATTTTATGAATCTATCGATGTGCTCCCAATTACCTTTTACCCTGATCTATACCTGTTTTGAGAATGGACTTCAAGCTTTAATTTCTCCATTTTCTGTTGAACATGAAGTCAGTTTCTTTCCGAAGGGATCAGGAGATACTTGTTTTATCTGCTTCTCCTCCAGGCAAACCTGAGGCTGGGCTCTGCAGCGGGCAGAGGGACGACCGTCTACTTCTCAGGGATGCCCTCACTCTAGCAGGAGAGCAAGCACGTCCTTGTGGGAACACTGCCTTTCAGGGGGTCTAACGTTCTCAAAGGAACACAGCCCAAGTGGAGGCTCCGTCCCACAAGTGAGGGCTCCTAGGAACTCCCGCCACTCAGGTGCACTCACAAGAACTCAGCCTTGGCAACAAGCAGTGGGGGGCAGAGGAAGAATACAAAGCCTGCTGCTTCTGGGAAGGAAAGCGCTTTGGTGCGGGAGGACCGTGTTCTTGACGGCAGCTGTCCCGAGTGAGTTTCCATCCACTGAGCAGGGGCAGGGTAGGAGGTACCAGCCCTCGTTCACACATCCCACACTCTCCCTCTTCTGATCTGATTTTAGCAGATTTTCTTGAATAGGTACTTCTTAATTTGCTATATAATCAAGATAATTTCCAGAACTTTCACCACGGTCAGTGGGCAGTATATCCACGAAGCTCCCCCTGCTGCCAGGATGGACATCATTCTCGGTTTATCCATTCACTAAGTGACATTCCCCGGTGAGAATATGCCACAATTTATGCATCCATCCCTTCATAATGGACACCTGGGTTGATTCCAGCTTTTGTGTGCTAATATAACCCTGAGGCTATAAGCATTCTTTTTTTTTGGTTTTTCTCCTGTACCGGGAACCGAACTCACGACCTTGCGCTTGCCAGGCAGGCGCTTTGCCGCTGAGCTAAATCCCCAGCCCCGCTATAAGCATTCTTTATCCGCGTCCTGCTGCGCAGGAACAAGTATCCCTGTTGGGTACACAGCAGCTACAAACCTAGGAAAGGGTTCCCAGGACTAAGTTATGCTGATGTTTACTAGGCAGCTTCACGCTGCTTTCCGAAGAAGTCGTCTCGGTGTACATTTCCAAGTAACAGTGTATAAAAATCCTTCCTGACCCACAGCCTCCTCAGCTTGTGCTAACAGACTTAATCGTTGCCAGTCTTACAGGTGTAAAATTGTCTTACTGGAGTGACTAATAAGGATAACATGTTTATGTTCATGTTTCTGGTTTTGATGTTTTTTCTTCTGTAAATGCCTATTTATTTCTCATGTCCCTTTCCTGCCCCCTTAAGACAGGGTCTTGTTAAGCTGCTCAGCAGGGCCTCAAATGAGTTAGACCCATGCATCACTCTCCTGCCTGAGGTCTCTTCCGTCCATCCTTTGGGTTGTCCGGTAGATATCCTTTACTACCCCTACCCTTAGCTCTTTGTGGTATGGTTTTAGGAGCCCGACTCAGAGTCTTATATGCTAGGTGAGTGCTCTATACTTGAGCTACACCCCCGGCATGGGCTTTTTGGCTGGATGTAGGAGCTGAATTAATACAAGAGCTAATTAACTAGGAAAAGCATAAAAGTTCATTGAATTTCCAGGTACACGGATATCTTCTGTAGAGAGTGAAGTCTGAACAAATGACTAAAGCAAGATGCTTTTATATACCTTTTAGACAAAGAACAAAAAATCTGTGAAGGAGTGACAGGACAAATGGATCCCTAGACTGAGGTAAGTCCTGTGGATGTCATTAAGAGATATATACGGTGTGAAGGGAGGTGTAGAAGTTAGGGGACGATAAGGGCTACTTCAGAAGGTGTGTGAACTGGGGCTGCGATGAACTCCCCCAATTACCACTGCAGTGATCAAGGCTTCTTCCAGCTTCGGTTTATGAAAGACATTCCTCCCAAAAGAATCCTTATGGGCTGCTCCATGCACGGAAAGACAGGCCATTTGGCCATTTCTTGAACTTCCAGTTCCTCAAGTGATTTCAGCTTGAAATTATCAGTATTTCACCTGTTAACTCCTTGACTGCCTTGTCTTTTTCTTAGTATAGCTGTGTATGTATATGTTTTGTTAATTACACATGTTGCAGATACATTTTGTCAGATTTTGGCTTGTCTTTTCAAATTTCTCTAAGGCGGGGCTGGGGATTTAGCTCAGCGGCACAGCGCCTGCCTGGCAAGCGTGACATCGTGAGTTCGATTCCTGGTACTGGAAAAAAAACAAAAAACAAAACAAAAAAACCAAATTTCTCTAAGGAAACTTGTGATAAACAAAAGTTCTAATTTTAGTATGACTGAATTTTACCAATCCCTTACATTAGTACTTTTTGCGTCTCAAGAAACGTTCCTCCAACAAAAAGTTAGATGACCACATATTGTGGCTAAGTGAATCATATGACAGCCACCTCACAAAGGACAAGGGGGCGGAATCAGGAATACTCTGTTAAGGTACATGCGCCACCCAGGAAGCAGTAAAGTATTTGAAGGTAGACTTTGATCAGAAGTGTTAATGTATACTGCAAATCTTTTTTTTTTTTTTTTTTGGTTTTTCTGCGGTACCGGGAACCGAACTCACGACCTTGCGCTTGCCAGGCAGGCGCTTTTGCCGCTGAGCTAAATCCCCAGCCCCGTATACTGCAAATCTTAAGCAACCACTAAAAACCTCTTTACAGATGTAGAATTTCCAGGTGTCATTGCACACACCTGTAATCCTGGCACTTGGGAGGCTGAGGCAGAAGCATCACCACAAGTTCAAGGCCAGCCCGGGCTACACTCTAAGCATAAGACCAGCCTAAACTACATAGCAGGACACTTCGTTGGTCACCTACCACTGTGACAAAAATACACGAGGAAAGGTTTATTCGTTTCAGCCCTCGGCCTGTGGCAAGCAGACCAGCATGGCGGAAGGCATGTGTTGGAACAAAGTTGCTCACCTCCTGGCAGCAGGGAATTAAGGAGGAGAAGAAAAAGGGGGCAGGATGCTGCCAGCTCCTTCAAGGGGTGTCCCGCTGACCTAGCATAATTCCAGTAAGGTTCCAAAGGTCTCAAGGCTTCCCTACGGCTCCCAGCTGCGGGCAAGCCTCTCACACTGCGCCTCTGGGGCCACTCAAGACCCAACCTACAGCAGTTACCTATCTGATCTTGAACGCTGGGCACTTTTCCTATTACAGTCCTGAACATACACATCAAGGTTAATTTCCTGATCGCGTAACTCCAAAATGTCTGCTGTCTTTCAGGTGGTACTAATGTTTGCCGTGTATTTGCAGACTTTTTTTCTTCCAGTAAGCCTTCTGACTTATTTATTGAGTCAGTAGCTACTGACGTAAAAGGCCACGTGTGAGTGTGTGTGCTTGGAATGGAACCTAGTGTAATGTGCATGCCAGACAAGTGCTCTGACACTGAGCTATACCCCGCGGCCTGGTAGGAGGCCCTTTACGTTTACCTGTCTGGGACTGTTGTATATCCTGTTTGCAGTATTTGTATGGAGGGGCCCTGCTGATGTGGTAGTGAGGGGGCGGGGGGAGCTGGGTGTATTATACTGTTCTGAGATCAACTCTCAATCTTTAGTCAGTTAAGACCAGCTTGGGCAACACAGTGAGACTTCATCTCAAAACAAACAAAACAAAACAAAACAAAACAAAACAAAACAAAACAAAACAACCCTTTAGATGAGAGAAGAAGGCTCCAGCGGGTTGGAGTTGGGAATTTCCACTCCTCCAGGCTGGCTGGGCTGTGGTAAAATAGTTTCTTTTTTGTGCAGGGCTTTGTTAAGGAGAAGGAAATTCTCTGGAGCATTTCACAATGGCTATTTTCCCCTCCCCTTGAGGAAAAGAAGGATTTTTCTTAGATCTTCCTTGGGAGAAGCTGGTGGAGCTCCTTGAAGTAAAATTCACAAAAGTATATAGGTCTTTAGTTATTTTTATCTCTCAAACGAGTTAACTGTCCGTTACTCTTGCTTGGTAATAGTGCTGTGCTAGATTCTAGGAGGTTTCTGCCGTGGAGAAGCTCTGATCCTCTGGATCTGCTGGTCTCCAGCTTTCAGGTCAGCGTCCTGTGACCTCAGGTCTCTGATGGGTATAAGCTTATTTTCCTGCTCATAATCCCTCACTGCTTCCTTACTGATTCAAGATGAAGTCTATCATTTCTGCAGAATACATATTCCTGTGGTACCTGGGTAGGGGCATTGAAATAGTCTCTACAATGTAGCCCTTGTTTGTTTTTCAGTTTGATCTCTCACCACTTCCCGAAGCAATCTCTTGTTTCTGGTCACTAGTAAACTTATTCCTAAAATATACTACGTTCACTCATTTCATTTTTTCAAGTCACTCCCCAGTATTTACAAGGCCCACCACAATGAGTGATTTAAAAGTCACTTAGCCCCTCTCAGTTCAATCTGTATTTCTCTGACTGCTCACCCAGCTCCTGCCCATTAAGGTCCTGCAAACAAGGACCCGGGCGTGGTGGCACACGCCTGTAATCTAAGCACGTGGGAGGCCGAGGCAGGAGGATCATTGTGAGTTCGAGACCAGCCTGTGCTACAAAGTGAGCTCAAGTCCAGCCTGAATTGCATAGCGAGACTCTACCTCAAAAAACAAAGGAAGTCCTGCAAACACAGTTATTCGGAGTATTCCAGAGCACCTTGGAAGGTGTTTTGCACTCACAGACTGCAAAGTGAAAGGCACTAGTAATAAAACTAAGAATTTATGACATCTTTTGGCATTATTTTTAAAAAATGTTTCGCAGGAAAATTTTATTTATTGTGGGGAGAAGAAGGAGGAAGAGAAAAGCTGCTACCAATTCAAAAACAGGTTTCTCAGCCCTAGTTTAATTTCTTAACTTAAAACATTAAAACTCACGTTCCATCTGCTCAAACATTACTGAAAAGAGGAAGTCACGTGGTGTCATGTAATATTCCCCTTCATGTTCCAGGGAAGAAAACTGCATGAAGCGCTGCTTACGAAGGGAGAGTTTCTCGGCTGCTCCACAGTCAACATTTTTCTGGAAGAAAATGAAACTGCAATTTAGTTTTTGTTCGGTAGTGTTCATAACTGAGCTACTTGTAGAATAATTTTTAAAGAGTAATTTTCACGTTTAGGTTTGACAATTCACAAACTTTTAAATCTTCATGTAACAAATATTAACTGAGTGCTTGCTCTGAACTGTTTTAGGTACTAAAAAAAATACAGCACTGATGAAGGAACGTACATTCCACAAAGGGAGAACGACAATGAATGAATGAACGTGTAAAATAATTTCAGGTGGTACTGACAGGGCAAGAGAGACCCCATTTTCTTTTTTTAACTCCATATTAAGAGAAGTCACATAAGCTCACCTAAGCTGTACTGGACCCCACTCTTCACCCCCTCCCCTTGGTTAGTTATCAGCCCACTTAAAGGACAGCAGAGTCATAAAAAGGGAGCAGAACAAACAGGACAAATTTGGAAGTAGGCAAAAGTTAAACTGCAGCGGTCACCTGGAATCCAGCTGTCTGGCAACTTCTGGGAGAAGTGAACTTTGTGATAATTGTGTGACATTCTTACACGATTCCTAAAAATGAGGTAATGGTTACTATGGAAAGCTAAAATGTACTGAAACTGAAGGTGAGACCCAGGTCGGGGCAGACACCTTCTCTGGCTCTTGGTTAAGAGACTGTCCATCAGCCAGCTCAATAAAGCTTTGTTTGTTCCTGCTCTGTTGGTCCCTTGTGAATGCCGTTCTCATTGAACTCACTTGCCGTATCAGTATGACAGTGAGAAAGGTCACAGAGCAGTACAAAGCAGGACAAGGTGATACAGGGTAATACATTAGTTACTTGGTTGTTTTTTTTTTTTTTGGTACCAGGACTCGAACTCAGGACCTTGCGCTTGCCAGGCAGGTGCTTGTGCTGCTGAGCTATATCCCCGGCTCAGGGTAATATATTAGATAGTTAGGGGAGATCTTCCTAAGAGACATGGACACAGATGGCACGAGGGCACTGAGTATGTCTGGGATCCCCCTGGAGGCTTGGTGTGCTCAGGGAACAGCAGAAGGGCCAATGTTACCTCAGTGACAGAGGGGAAGAAAATGGCAGAATGGAGGTAAGAGCAAAAAGACTGGGAAGCAACGGGACCTACACTTGTGGTGTCCTAACGATAGAAAGTATCACATCTGACCAACAGCTCTGCTTTCAGGAATCTAGGTGAGGAATGATGAATACAAAGTGCTAAAAGAATGAGGATGAGCGAAACATTTGGATCTCAGGCAGTGAGGCTTAGCTCTTGACTGACTGCTGTAATCTTGACTGCTAACCTTTCATTGAGCACTTACTACACACTCGGCACTGTGGTAATTCAACAGTGTACCAGGCTATTTAGTAACTCTGACAGTATTGTGTAAGATACGGAAGCTGATATGGCAGAGCCAGACTAAAAACCCATGTCTGCCCCAAAGGTTTCAATCCCTTAAGCCATCCTAGTGGCCTGGGCTTGTGGCAAGGCAGAGCGAAGGAAGATGACACAACAGGCGGCACAGACGTTCACCTCAGTGCAGACACCCCGGCAGAACACACTGCCTGTGGAACGCAGCAGCAGGTGTTCACCCTGGAGTCCTTCCTTAGGGTACCACTTGGTCTCGCTTGCACCACACACCTTTCCTGGGCACGTCACCTACTTCGCACTCTTACTACTAAATCCTATGATCGACCCTAAACATACAGATGCTCTGCAGTGACCGCTGGGGAAAACTATGAATTCCAGTTGCTTACCCTCTCTAAATTCAAGGCCCTCAACAGACCTGTTTTGGATGATCTAAGTTCTTTTACTAGTAGTATAATAATTCTACTGTCCTTTCTCCTGAGTTAGACAGGGACCCTTGAGCACTTACTTTTATTCATATTTTGCATTTTGTTACAGTGTCTACCACAATACTGGATATATACAGGGTACTCAATAATATCTCAGTGATCTATACCTCAGCATCTCCAGATCTTCCCTTCTGTTTCTCTTTAAACGATTACTGTAAGGAGAACTCAAGGGTCATGTTTTAATTACATGAGTCAACACTCATCCTAGGAATCAATAAACTGAATTTTATAATCTTTCTGAATATTTTATACATGAGGCAAATAATTACACACATTTTATTTAACAAAGTGTTAACGAACATCTGTAGAAAAACAGTGGTAAATAAGACAAACATTAATTCCTATTAGAAGGTACTAAATGCTTTGGCAGTGAATATACAGAAAGATATGGCTGGGACAGAGAAAACCGGTGGGTTAGAGAATTCTCAGTAAAGGTTGTAGCATTTGCCAAGATCCACATATTAAGAGAAATGAAAGGTTAACATGGGCAGAGGCATTAGTAACAGATTTTTTAGTCAGACATAAACATTTTTTTAAAATAAAAATTAAAGTGGATCAAAGAACTTACTATAAAAGCTACAATTAGAGAATTATAAGGAAACGGGAGAGCTTCACGACACTGCATTAAGACTTGTTAGTAACACGTTCGCTGTACTTATTAACGGGGGTCAGTGTGAGATTTCCATACATGCCCACAGTGTACACTGATCAAATTCTACTCCCATTCCCCACTGCCACAATCTCTGGTAATCACTACTGTAGCTCTGGCTGATGTTCTACCTTCCACACGAGAGAAAATATGCTGCGCTGGTTTACTTCACGCAGCACAACACCTTCAAGTTCTGTCCCTTTTGCTACAAACGACAGGACCTCGTTCTCATAACTGAGTAATACTGAACTGTGTGTACATAGCACATAAGAAAACTACTTTCAAAGATTTCCCCCCATCCCTTTTTTCTTACAGGAGGTTTAGACCTTAAAATTTTCCCTATCACACGGTTATCATTTTCTATATGCCCACGTCTGCAACTCACACAGGGTAACATTTCTGAAACATCACGAGAAGAGTCAATTGTATAGCAAAGTACCATTTCAGTCTTTTTTTTTTTTTGTCCTGGGAATCGAACTCACCACCTTGCGCTTGCCAGGCAGGCGCTGTGCTGCTGAGCTAAATCCCTAGCCCCGTGAAGTACCATTTCATTGGGTTGAACCATTTGTCAGCCCCTTCATTTTTTTTTTTTTTTGTTTTTTTTGAGACAGGGTCTCACTATGCAGTTCAAACTGGTCTTGAGCTCACTTTGTAGCTGGTCTTGAACTCGCAACGATCCTCCTGCCTCAGCCTCCTGAGTGCTGGGATTACAGGCGTGCGCCACCATGCCCGGCTAGCCCCTTCATTTTCAGTTAAGTATCTTCTCTAGTGAACAAGAAAAGGTGTGTGTGTGTGTTTGGAAACAAAAGCACCCATTCACTGGTTCTGAATTTGAACCTCCATGCAGTTAGTTAACGGTCCATCCTGTTGTAAGACCAGCAGACTCCTTAAGTACAACGGCCTCCACATCTGTGTGAAGCAGGACTCCCTCCACTGCTGGTGGTGTGGTACAAACCTTCCCACAATCTTACTGCAACCCTCCCACTTCAGTTTGGAATGCAGCTTGTAACTCCCGTTGCTCCCTGGTGTAAATGAACCTATGCTCTCTTCTCAAAGCCTTTCAGCTCCCACTGCCAGCACCACGGATACCTCCCCCTCCCTAACCCTCCCCTGCCTCCCACGCAGCTTGCTAAGCATCCAGCCATGTGTGGAGGTCATCACCACAGCTGACGCTAACGCTACCATTTCTCTTCGCACATGTGCAGGGGCTGGCCCCAGTCACCGTCTGGCACTGCTACAGGCTTTCCCTCCTTCTCACCCTCATCCACAGCAATGAACACATGTAAGTTAAGGGGGCAACCGTGTATTAGTGAGCAGCAACAACAGCTAATGTTTATAAATACGTAATATATGCAAGTCAGGTTGCTAACACCTTTACACACGTGCTTAACACATCTTACACCCTTCTCATGTTACAAAAGAAACAAAGACTTGTTAAGGTTAACCCGCCTGCCTACCTTAACACAGTGAATTAAGTGACAGCACAGTATGGCCTCAACCTTCCTACAACCATTTTCCAACATCAGCTCCTGTAAGAGTTATTCAAATTAGAAAAGCAGAAAAAGCAGTGTGCAGGCATGAAAAGAGTAGGCTTTATGGCAGACTTCAGGTAATAAATAAGAAAGAGCAGAACCAGAACTAGTCATCCTTTAGGTTCTGGGCTAAGTGTTGGTCACTCCCTAAATGCTACAGTCTTCCTTATTTCCTGAGCTCAGGAAAATCTAAAGTAATTAGGATGTACGCGATATGAATCTCTGCTATAAGAAAATTTATGTAAAGGGGGTAAAAAGTGCTGTTTTGAGCCTTTCAAAGTTGACGAGCCAACACAATTTTGTTATATTTATCATGTAGTGATGGGGACCACTATGAAGCAGCCCTAAGCAGGACTTAAATTAACCAGTGGGCTTTTCATGTTTACTTGTAAGTCTGTCCAAGGCCCAGCTTCCTTGGCTGGAGATGAGCAGTGGACTCATATTAAGTGAACCTCCATGTGCCACTAATCCCTACTAAGGCCTGTAATGGCCGATGAAGATGGAGAGCCTGAAAGGATAACACAAGTGATAGCACAGTATGATATCAACCGATAAACCATGCAGAGAAGAACTGAGTAAACCAGATAAAACTGTCATTTTGATATTTTACCTTACAAAACTAACAAAAAATATACAATATTTGGTCATCCTGTATTCAAATAATTGAACCAGTAAGTGGTTAATGCTACATTAGTACCGCTACATTATCAGGCAGAAAAATTCACTAATCTGTCCTCAAACATTTAAGAACCTACTATGAATCATTTTTCTGGGGATGATTAGATGGATACTAGGAGTTCTCAGCCTTAAAGGATATACAGAAGGCAGAGATGGACAGCAAATAAATAGTTAAAGCCCTAAGTGTGGGATCAAGTCACTTGGGATTTAAATTCCAGCTCTATCACTTACTGTGTATACGATCTTGGACCAATGATTTGGTGTGTCTCGGCTGACTCATGTGAAAAGTGAGTAAACT